AATATTTTTAAAAAATATAAAAATAATTTTATTAAGCTGTAAGTTTATTTAGCCTTTTATTTTACATAATATTTTAACAAAAAATTATATTAATATGTATAGTTAAATATTAATTTCATTGAATTCTTATAATATAATTTATAGCCTTGTTTGAAAATTTTATAATTAATTTTATAATTTTACATTAATCTCTTTTAGCTTTTAGCATATATTAGTTATTATTTAATAATCAAGTTTAGTTACATTAGTTAATAAAGTTTTATTATAATTATGTATAAACATTTTTAGAGTTTGTACTAATTTCTTAATTTAAAATTACACATAAGTTTTTCGGGTGAAATAGTCGGATCAAATTTTGTATATTCCATCTTAAAACCAGGCACCAAGCTGAATTCAAACTTTAACAATAACTTGGCCATGCATAGTTTCATCTGATTAATAGCAAACCGTTCACCTAGACACATTCTTTGTCCCCGACCAAAAGTTACATATGCGTATTGATCATGAGTGGGTTTTAAGAAACGATCAGGTTGAAACTGATCAGGGTTTGGCCAGTATTGCGGGTCACGCTGTATAGCGTATGAACTGATTAACACCGCTGTGTCGGCCGGTATTGTAATGCCTTAAAGTGGAAAATAAAAATAACAAATTAATTAAATCAATTAACATGAAGCTAAAGTGTTAAATCTAACAAGATAAGTTTGTTTAATACGTACCGGTATTTCCCAACTTATAGTCCTGAACACACGTACGAAACAGGCGTACAAAAGATGGCGCGAGTCGTAAGGTTTCGTTGATAACGGCGTCCAAGTATTTCAAGCGAAATACCGTTTCGGGCGACATATCGTTGCAATCGCGCAGCTCTTCGTACAGCCGTTGCTGACAGTCCGGGTTTTGGCACAGATTGTGTAGGGCGTGGGTTAGAGCGCTGGATGTGGTGTCGTAACCGGCCATAAAAAATGAGAGACAGTTTGCGGTAATCTCTTCGGGCGTTAGTATTCCGACCGGTCTTTTGTTCATTGAAGTCTCGCTGTCCGGCACTTCATCGTCGACGGCGCCGGACGTGTCGTAACCCAAGTCTTCATCGCTTTTCTCCGCGTCTAACATGAGTTGAATAAAATCCGTGCGCTTTTGATCTGAAAGTTAGTTTATGTATATTAATTAAAATAATCATTATGGTTATAGAGCACATAAAATGTTATAGTAAACACGTACATTTATCATTCTGTAAGTATTTATTATGGTGTTTTCGTTCGTCGATTATGCTCTTGGTCAAATCGGTAAAGTATTGGGCCGCTCGCAGGTCAAAGGGTTCGCTACCTAACAGTCGGGCTAAACCACAGAAAAATGCTGATATCATAACAGCCACAGTGAGGGGCGGATCCAACAGCTTCTTAACGTTGGTCAACACCGGGTGGTCGGGGTTTTCAAGCGAATTGAGCTCGATGCCAAATGCGCACGCACCCATATTGTCCATTGTGTACGCGCCCATATATTTACGCATATCAATCACCTTGCCTAATTAATATAAATATTTAAAAAATACTGTAATTAGTTTTAAAAAATAATTTAGTATACATTTAAGTGTTATGACTATATAATTAAACGGACAATATCTAAACCTTTTTTTAAATTATAACGGTTTTAAGAATTACGAATCTACTATAATTTTTTTGATACTACTCTAATTAGATTAATACATTGATTATAAGTGCATCAGTTAAAAATTTTAATAATATACCTGTTTGTTCGTACTGAGTCAGTCTGTCGACAAACCGATCGACATTATCCGTAATGTGTGTCATCATTGCGCGTAACTTTCCCGACGTAAACCCCGGTGTAATTATATTACGGGCGCGTTTCCAACGCTGATCACCCGGCATGAAAAATAGCATCTTGCTCAGTGGCGAACTGCCAAAGTGGAAATTGTTTATATGATCGGGAAACGAGTTAAAGTCTTTGACCAATATGTCTCGCAAAAGCTCCGGGTCGTTGATCATTATAGTTTTGCCCGATATTGTGTACATGCCATATACGCGGCCGTATTTTTTAGTTTGCTCTTGGTCGTATTCGTGTGTGTATTTATTAAATTGCATAATGTCCACGTAGTTTTTGCCGGGCACCCCGTGCCGGGACCAGTATGTGTACCGGTGTCGCAGGTAACTAAATAAAATAATTTCGTGGTTAGAAAAATTAATTTATTAACCTATTTAAACAATTCAATAGTTACCCAATCAGTAGCGTTATTAAGACTACACTGACATTTAAAGTTGTCAATATATCCATAATTAATTTAACTTGCTAACTTAACTAAAACAACAATTATATTATAACTCACTCGTTACAAGTTGTGCTTTACAATTTATGTAATGTTTCCTATATGCGAATACCATATTTATATAAAGTGACTTTACATTTGTGACTTGTTTTTATCTATTAAAATAATGTTTAGATATGATTAGATAATATACAACATATACCACTAAGGTATTTGTTAGTTCAAATTAGTACAGCGAATTATATGTAAAGTATGATACTTTATATTACATTTATTATTATTATTTCATTTCTAATGCTTTGATAGCCCTAACATAACTTGATTGTATGCGATATTAAATAGTAGTAATAGTGCAAACAAGTACATGGTGTATATAAAGTTTAGTTATTTTAAAATTATCATAATAAATCAGAATAATTCTACAGTTACATGAAGCTGTCGTTAAATGCACTAGAATATAATTTAATAACAATATGTTAATAAATAAAATATATCTATAATTTATATATTTTTATGTAAAGGTTTTAAATAAAATAAACTTAAATTAATCTTTTTATAAAAACGCTATTGATTGTAAAGTACTAATTAGAACTAAATGCTAGTTAATAACTAGTGATACAGAGTAAAGATTAATGGCCCTTACAAAAGTAATAATTCTGAATATTTAAACAATAAAGCAAAATATTTATTAACTAGCATGTTTAGAATTTTTAAAAAATTAAACTTTTGCAATTTTCTCCATAAACATAATCTTAAATTTAAATCCTTATAAGTAAATAAGTTGATAATAAAATCTGTTAGCAAATATGTTATAAAATTTAATTTAGTTAATTGAAATTGAACGTTGTCATAAGTCAATATTGCATCATATGAGTTGAATCTACATTAAAATAAATAATTGTTAAATTAAATCAAATTATATGAACTCTATTTTCAAAATGGTGATAATAAAGTATGCATTATTGTTTTACTTGGTTAACCTGGTCAAAACTGCTCCTCAAATTAGGTACATTGAAAATGTTAATATTATTTTTTAGGTATTTAATAATAGTTAAACCTTTGATTTTTATTTATTAATTAATTAATAATAAATAAATAATTTTGTAATTTTATTTAAATTAAGTAATAAACACAATTTCCACAAAACACATAAATATAAGTCAAGCGACGAGTAGTGAACATCCGGTCAAACAATTAAGTGATAGAGTGTTGGAATCGTTGACCGACTCTATGGAGAAGAAGTTTACCACAGATTACGTCCAAAAGATACTAATGAACGCAGAATTGACGGATGAAAACAAACGGATCGGTCGGACCTTTTTGAACAAACTTAAAGAAATCATTAAAAGTAAGTAATGAAACTATGATGTAATTAAAACAGGGTAAATGTCATGCATTATGCTAAACACAAAACGTTACATGTACATTTATAGGGAGCGGGGTAGCATCGTTTCAATAGATAAAGCTACTGGGAATTATTTTACGGTAATAAAAAGGGGAAGGGATGTAATATATAACTTATAAATTATAATTTAAATACAAAAATGTAGACTAATGTACATTAAGCCATATATTAAAATATAAATATCACGATTTATTATTTTAATGAATAGTACGCACTGATCTGCTGACAATATGCCGCGGTCTGGCCAAAGATGATCAAAGTGGTCAAAAACTGGACCGAATGGTCAAGACTATGACCTCCGGAATGTCACAAATGGAACAATTTTTTGCCGAATTCACCGAATTATTGAGTGGAGTCGACGGCGACGTAAAGCACCGGCCAATGAATGAGACGGACATTGAATATCACAACTTAATTAAGCGCGAAATTGAACGTGGCTCGTTGGTCAGGTTGATGGTGATATTAGCGCTGCCCATTTGGCGCATGCAGCAATTGTACGCGTACCTTAAAAGTCAGGGGTATCAGTATCAGCCCAGCCAGTTGTCCGACACCATGTTGTTGCTTAAAAACTTTGACCACCCTGATGAAAAGATTGCGCTCAATTTATATACAAATGTCATTAATTTAAACGCCGCGAACGTATCGCCGGCCGACGAGCTCGAGCTAAACCAGTTGGCTAAACAGGTGCTGGAATTGGATACACAATATTATTACCCTGATCAAAACACGAGTACTGTCTCTACTGAACAGCCCATAAGTACTGTCTCTACTGAATGGCTAATAAGTACTGTATCTACTGAACGGCCCGTAAATTCGGTTTCTACTGATGGACTCATAAGTGCTGTCAATACTTATGGGTACCCAAGTATTGCCTTTACTGAACGGTCAATAAGTGTTAGCACTACTGATCAACCCATAAGTACTACAGCTCGACCTAGTCGTTGTAGTTACAATCCTCAAACCGGTATTTTAACCCGGCTCAAGAATCGGGCAAAGGAACAGTACCAAACCGGTCAGGACAGTAATGGCTACCAAAATAGCCAGCAAAGTATTGTATTCAGTTAATTTTGACATAGAACTAAAATTATTAAATATTTTTCACGTATAACTGTATGAATATTTCATTTACGTTGGAATTTTATAATTTATGGAGCGTTTATTTATGTTTTTAAATGTATTTATATGTGATAACGAGCAAACCTGGTCACGAAATCGGCCAAAAACCTATTTGTAAGCAACTCTTGCGTTTATTTTATAACACATTATAAATTTTATTTAATTAATTTAAAAAAAAATTATTGTGTGTTAATTAATCAGTCACTCCATAGCAGTATAGATCTCTCCGTAATCAACGAACCCATCGTTATTCAAATCCATTGCCGTCAGCATTGAGTCCACATAATCTAAAATATATACATTATATTTAGTTAATTAATTAATTGTTTTGTAATTTCAAAGTTTGCGCGACAATCAAATACCCGACATGTCCTCCAATGGCGTAAATTCATGGCTGACGTCAGTATGAATTAGTGAATGTTTATACGCTAACAACAGTTCTGTATAGAAATGAATTTAATGTATTAGGATATAATAAAATTTATTTAATGTGTAAATCATTATATTCAAAAAACATTGCAAATCAGTACCTAATCCGTCGAGTTTGCCGTCACTATTAAAGTCGTGTAGTTTAATAAAATACAAGTACGACTCTTCATGGGTTATCTGATTCGCATCTTTCATATACAGCAAAATACTCGCCTCTTCTCGCAAATGACTTCAATATAATGCAAATAAATATTATTTATTAAAATATAATAAATATAAAGTACTGTATATATTTAAATTTAAAATGTCTATACTCTAAGTTATAGATGAAACCATGTGACCCGTATTTGTCCCACAACTGTCCCGTTGCGGGCGTTGAGGGCGTTGTTGTTACTGGATTTGGTGCGTGAACTGCATGCCCTCCGTGTGGCCCCTGTCCTACCGGTGCCGCATATTTATTCTGTTGACAAGTTTCGTAAATATGTAATTTGTTAATTATGATTACATACGTGGTGGTTGTGTGTTTGATGCCCTCTTACACAAAACATTGAGAATAAAATTAAAACAAAACTTGCGACAAATAATTTAAAACACATCACAATATATCCTAACTATTATATAAATATTTTATTATAACATGTAAATGCTATGGTAAATAATTTGTAAAACTCATTAACTGTATATCTAACAGTTTTAAGCAAGATTTAAACTAATATCATTAAAATGCATTGTAATGTGACATTACTAATATTTATTTTAAAACAATGATATTTAACTTTGAAGCCAGACAAATAATGATTTGTATTTTTGAAATGTTAAAATATTAATTATAATTTTTACTAAAATTTACTAGGTACTTAATTAATTAAATTTTTATTAACAGTAAATATTTGCTAACTATACATATTTGCAATATTACATATTATGATATAGCTCGTGTTTTCGAATTTTTTATTTTTAAACTAGATTCTTTCGCGCTTGTGTCTACTTACCACAAAAATTGTATGCGCGCACAAGAATCATGTATAGTCTAGAATCATGTAGTACAAAATATATTTACAGTACAATTGTGTGCAAACTATTGTAGAAATACCACATAGAAATAGAGAAAAAGTGTCAATAAATGACTCACCTTAACATTGCTATGGCAACACATGCCAGCCCTGCGCATTAACAGTACACGCATTCAAATCATAACATCGGGTGTTTTGATCTGTGTATTAATGTAATAGTCATTGACATTTCACACTCACGTGCAAATATACTCACAGCTAAAAGTCCATAGTTATTGACAACTATTGACATTACTTAATATTGTCGGCAATAATAATGGCGTTCACTAACTATAAAACATTTCGAGGCGTCAAGATCTGTATGGAAGTGCTGTATGTGTTCACAACGATCGCCAGTATATATCTGATTGTAGTCCGCAGTATAGCGTTGAACGACCATCAAAAAGGCGATAATACAACTGCAGGTAATTTTTGGTTCAATATTAATATTATTAGATTAAATAATGCGTACAGTATTTTCACCATAAGTATGTACAGTGTATGAAATAATCATGTTTGTTATGTTGGCAGATTCATTTGTATTATTAAACTTACAAAATCTTCCCTGATATTGACCATGATTATTTTGTACACTGTTTATCTAATATCTAGAGAATAATTAGATGCATAATACATAATGTGTAAAATTAGTAAAATTTATTAACAATATTTATCACCTTGTTTATATAGAGATATTATCGGTGGTCGGCGCCGTATTAGGGCTACTGATATCCATCGTTGGTTTCAGAGGTATTGTCAGGGAAAACAAATGGATGGTCGCATTTCTACTGGTGCTGACCATAGGCGCTGGTATAGCAGACTTGGTTAAACTGTCTGATCAGTTTTGGTTCACTTTTTTGTCACACGTCGTGTGTACAGTGTTTACAGTCATTTATTTGTACTTGATCATTCAGAAAGAAAAGGACACTGGCCGTTTTAATTTGGAAGTTTAATTTAGTGTTTGCTTTAATGTATATGGCTATATTTGTCAACATTTATTTGTTGCCATTTTTATAAGATTAATTATATTAATTATACGCCATTTGTATAATGAATCATTATTTATGATAAACATGTTTTTAAAATTTTATCATTTAAGGATGTTTACTATACTGTAGATCTTATAACATTCAAATAATGCAATTTATGCAATAAAAACTATTAAAATTTCAAGTTTGTTTAATTAAATATTTAATCATGTTTGTTTAAATCACTTTTAATTAACCTCATGAATAATTTCAAATATTGAGAGTTTATAAACTATTATTAGTAAATAATGCCATATTCATTATTAATAAATTAATTTCTATTATACAGTGCAACTTTTAATAGTAATTTTTAATATTTCTATCAAATATTAAAGTAAACAACCCATTAAAAACATTTTACAAGTGTTAAACTTTTAATAAAATAAAATATTAGTTGACATTAAAAATTTTGTTATTAATTATAATTAACATGTTTCATTTATAATATTATTTTAAATCAGACAATAATTATAGTACCGGTAATATAAAATTAAATATAAAAAAAAGGTAATGCAAAAGTGCTATGTAAGTTTAACAAGCTATCATAATAACAAACAAACTTTATATGAATTAAGCACGCAATTTTAAATGACACTGCAACTCCTTGGGCGACATGGCTGGTTGACCTCTAAAATATTCAATTTGAAATCCGGGCACCATGGTGAAATCGAACTTTCGTACCATTTTAGCCAGGCACATCTGCATCTCATTTATGGCAAACCGTTGTCCAATGCATAGTCGGGGTCCGGCGCCGAACGGCAGGTAAGCGTACGGATGGTGTTTGGGCTCAAACCAGCGCTCGGGATCAAATTTGTCGGGGTTGGGCCAATATTTGGGATCCCGGTGTAAAGTATATAGGTTGATGTTTACGGCTGTTCCCGCTGGTATGGTAATACCTAAATAATTTATAAATTAAATTAAACATATTTAGAATATGTTAAAATGATTATTGTATATATTTAAGTTATTATGTGTTTAAATAATATTTATTGTTTACGTACCGGTATTTCCCAACTTATAGTCCTGAACACATGCCCGAAATAACCGGGCAAATGATGGCCGCAGTCGTAGTGTCTCATGGATTACGCCATTCAAGTATTTCAATTGCGATAACTTTTCGTACGTAAACTCATCACAACTTCGCAACTCTTCGCATAGTTTTTGCTGACAGTCCTTGTTTTGGGACAAGAAGTACAGGGCGTGGGTTATGGCGGCGCTGGTAGTGTCGTAACCGGCGATGTAAAATAAAATGGCCTGGGCTACCATTTCATCCGACGATAGAGTGCCCGATGGTTTTGCCACTGGTTTTTCACCATATATTTTGTCCTCTTCTTGCTCCGCATCGCTGATAGAGTCGTAACCCAAGTCTTTGTCCGACTTTTCCGAGTCTATCATTAGTTGTATGAAATCTGTGCGCCGTTTGGCTAAAGATATGTAATTAAATTTTAAAATTCTAATATTTAAAATTTTAATCTTTATATCTATTGTAGATTATAAAATTAATATAATTATATCTTTGGTCCGACCTTTTGGGAGTTCCCAGAAATCACTATACTATTTATAACCTAATTATTATAAAATAAATTTAAATCATTTATTACAGTTTTACATATTTTGATAACTTTTATACCCTTTTATACTTTTGTTAATTATATGGCTAGTATAATATTAATTTATATAAATTTTTAGTTTTAGTAACAGTTTGATTTACTTAAATATTTCAAAAATAAAATAATAGTTATTATAATTATTAGAGTATTATTATTAATAACTTATTAAATACGCAAAAATACAGCACAAACTAACCTTTATCATTGCTAGTAATATTTTTATTTTGCTTCTTTCTTTCTTCAATAATTTTCTTGGTCAAATCATCGAAGTATTTACAAGCATCTACGTCAAACGGTTCG